AAATCCAAAAATCACTGATCAGAGCAATGAGGGAATAAACAATTCAATCGTTTTGCAGAAAACCATAATGACTATAAAACTTCTATCAGATGATCCTATTTCTGTACAGATCTGATTAATTGGATCGACGCAATTCAACCAAAATAAAGAAATGATAATGAATTCATTGATTCCATTATTGATCAACGGAAAGAACTACAGTTTTGCGACACTCACATGAACTCCAGTTGTTGCGCGTATTCTTTTGAAATGAATGGAATTTGCTCGGGTGCTAGTCGATTGGCCAACTGCAGAGCCTTTTCCCAATGCAGTAAATCACGACGCATCTGTGAATAAAATTCTCTTGGTATTTCATTGTAATGCTCAAATGTATCATTCAATTTCATACGCCAATCCGATAGCACCTCATCAAAATTGTTTCTCGAATCTGTTTGAGCGTGCAGCTGAATAAATTATTTTTGCTTTCTTTTCCTATATGTGATCTCAGAATGAAACCAAAACCCGTACATCAAGCGCTTCTGTTGGCTTAGTGGACCTTAGAAAATATGATTCAGCCACATCGAACTGTTCCATAATAAGTGCCAAGTGACCAGCAAGAAGATTACGCTCCTCAATGTATTGAATCTCTTCCAGCGCCCATACCATTGAAACGTCATCAATTTGTTTCATCACCCGAATTGCTGAATGATAATTTATGGAATTGCATGAACCTAGCATACATTTTTTCCGATAAATTTTCTTTGAATTTCGATGAATTTGTCAAAATTCTCAACTTTACTGAAAATTATTATAGATAAAATTTTCCAACGAACCCAATTCAACATCAGCGTTTTGCATAGCTGCAATTGCGTACTTTCGCCAGTGCTCTTTGTTCTTTGTGAAATCACAAATGCGCCATGCATTCAACCATCTAAAGATACGAGTTCATCAAATATTCTCAGCAACCGTTTTGAATCTGTACAAATCTTTGTTGTATGAACGCTTTTTGTTCAGATCCACTCCAAATTCAATTTTTGCGAAAAATCGCAAATATTTTTGGCTTTTCACGCCACACCAGTTAAATTTTCCACGAACACGATGAGGTACAATAGAAAGAGAAACGCAATTCAACATAAGCAAATAACCTCTTCAACTTGAGTGCTTGCTCGAGGAGTTTTTGAAGCTGAAAAAATGATATCATTTAGAGCGAACCAAACGGAACGCAGTTAGAAACAACTCTTTATAGATTACCTTCATGTGATCAATAACAAAAGTTTCCATTTAGGAGGAATTTTTCACGAATTCCCTCAAACGAACTAGTTGAGATGGGGCAAATTTCTGACAATTGTGAATCACTTGAATTAGTTCAAGACAAATGGAACTAAAAATTAATCGTTATGATCTGAACGCAGCTGATTCTTGTTCTTCTGTTTATTCTCAGCATACTTTTCCATATTATTTGAGGTCGTTGTTTTTAACTGTC